CCTAAGCGCACAGGGGTCTGGGCCCATCGCCCATAGCACACCTGCACGTTGCGTGCGCGGCCGGAAGCAGAACTAGCCCCCTTAATACAAGAGCAGGCTTACGTTCCAATCCGGCGCGCGCCGCTCCGTCGCTGACGTCTGAAGTGCTTCGGCTGATACCACGACGTCGGGATACCCATAACTACTCCCACGTAGATGGTTAGTGCGTATAGGCTCGTAGGCGACTCAGATCAAATACCAAGATCTCGTTAAGCGTGTTAAGTATCCGCGAACGCCGAACAGGGCCAGGCCCACCTGTCTCCTAGGTGGTCTCAACCTGCCCTGTCGCTCCGTCATAAAGTAACAGTCGGGGGCCGTCGGGAACTCAGGCCCACCACTACCTGGATGGAGCCACCTGCCCCTTCAGCCCCCATCTCCAAACAGTATCACCAGTAATGTAACCGTGTAAAGTATATAGTATATGCCCGTGATCACCTCCCGAAGTGATCACAGCCCAGTAGTATAGTATGGCAGACGGACAAGAGTGTAGGGTCACTGATGGAACACTAGCATCCTATACTAAGCATTTAGGATTGCGGGTAAGGTATCAATGTTTGTAGCAGCAATGACAGGCTATGCATCAGAATAGGATTAACGGAAAGCAGTAACAAGCTACACTACTCTAATGCAAGCAGTATAGAGAAGAGTAGGCGATATCTGGTGATCAAAGGGGGGGCTTGCCTTGTTGCTCTGGCAAGAGAGAGGGGTCGTCAACTCCGTAGTCGAACTGGTCAGCAGCAGCGTCGGTCTCGTAGTCTACCGGAGAGAAGAGGGGGAAGAAATAATGAATACAGAGCAAACAAAGCATCACAAAATATAACAAGGCAATACGCGGTGTTCGGTGTGCCCTAACGCGGTAGTAGGTGATACCGGTGAAGGGGGGAAAACATCCGGGAAAGTATTCCCGGTGTTTCGTGTTTTCGGGCAGAGGAGCCGGAGGGGGAAAGTTGCGGGTTCGATAGGTTAGGGGGGTGTGGCGGACGAACGGACTGCGTATCAGGAATCGTCTCGTCGCTCTGAGCAACTTTCATGTAGAAAGTATTTTAATCCGAGTTACGGATTAAAAGATATGATTTTCTAAAGATTTTATTAATTTTTGGAATTTAATTAATTAATTAATTAATTCAAAAAATGGATTTATGACGTCAGCATGATGTCATGCTGACGTCATCAGTCAACGGAGTTGACTTGGTCAACCTGACATGTGGGTCCAGGGGGACCCACCTGTCATCCTCTAATTAGGCTAATTAGGGTTTAGGTTAATCTAATTACAGTTTAATTAAACTTAACTAGTTAATTAAATTAATTAAACCGGATTAATTAACTTAATTAATTCATTAGTTAATTAATTAATTAATAATTAATTTTATTAATCATTTTTATTTTTATTTAATAATTTTATTTTTAATTCTCTTTTTTTTTAAACCGTTCTGGGGTGTGGCCCCCGTTGTCATAGGGCCACTAGGCCTTAGCGGATCGGGCGGTGCGGGCGAAGGGGCACCCGCACGCGAGGCCACCAGGGGCGAGTCGGGGCGCCAGAATCCGGCGGGGTAGGGGGGAAAGGGCCGGCCAGCTCCGGCGAGCGGCGGGAACGGGCGGAAGGGGGCTCGGCGGCAGCGGACGGCGCCGGCGTGGGCGCACGGGACGCAGGGGGCGCGGCCATGGACGGGGCGAGACCAGCGCAGGTGCGCGGATGGGGTCTGTGCTGGAGAGAGCTGCGGGAGGCCGGGGTCGAGGGCGCGCCTGGGGCGCGGCCAGTGTGGGGAGGCGGGGAGCAGCACGAGCATGGCCACGCGCGGGGCGCGGGCGCAGCCGACGCGGCCGGGGGCGGCGCCGTACAGCGAGCAGGGAGAGGAAGGAGGGGGTGGCGGCTCACAGGGGGTCGTAGGGTCCGGGGCAACGGGGCGCGGGAAGAAGGTGGAGACGACGGCAACGTGGAGGAGGCAGTCCGGCGAGGTGGAGTCGATGAGGTGGCCGCGGCGGTGGCGGGTGGCGACGCAGATGGAACGGTGTCGGGGAGGCAACGCCGCGACGGCGTTAGGTCGGCCTCCCCCCATTCCAAACGGAATCGGCAGAGGGGCGGGGAGGTGTCGGCGGGAAGGGGTCGAGGAAGCGAGCGCCAGCGTGGTGGCGAAGGGGTGGCGCGGACGATGTTGGTGAGTGGCGTCGGGGCGGTACGGCGAAGACGGGTTTGATCCCGGTGGCGTCAGGTCCCTGCCCCGATCTCGCCAGATCGGGGGGGGGAGCGTGCGATGTGGGGCGATGGCGGGGCAGTTGCCCGATCCAGATGGGGAGGAGAAGGGGATCGGGGAGAAGTGGGGTAGTGCGGTGGGCTAGGGTTTGACCAGGGTGGGGTTATGGTGGAGTGAGGGGGCGGCCTGGGCCGGTTTGGGCCGGCCTGGCTAGCAGCTGGGCTGACTGGCCTAGTGGGGGGGGGTTCCCTTTTCTTCTATTTTGTTTTGTTTTTACCTTTTATTTACTTTACATTTTCTGTTTTGTTTTGTTTTCTATTATTGTACTTTTAGTAAAATAGTATCTAAATTAGTATTTCAACTTAGTCCATAGTCACAAGAAGTCTAGTCCTCAAATAAATTAGTTTGACATTTAATTAATCACAAAAGGTTTTTAAAATAATTGTTTTGCTGTTGTTTTATTCATCTTATAGTATTTAAACATTTTATAAAGATGTGGCTTCTCCACCATAATTACCTATACAATATTTGGTTCACTCCGAACATTTTAGTTTTAATATTTGAAAACTTTTATTGTTCGCTTGCTTTTGGATTTGAATTTGAATCGGTTTTGAACTAACGCACGATTAACAACAGTAACCGTGGTGATGTGGCAACATTAACGTGGGATTACTGTAGCTTGATTATTCGGGCGTCACAGCAAGCAAGCATGAGTCTGAGAAAAGGATGGAACACTTTGCTGGATTAATTAAATGCCCCGTGGCCAACGCATGATGTATGCCACGCTTCTTTCGATCCTGGGTACGTCCTAGGAACCGATTCATCATACATGGATACTTTAGACTTTACGTTACTCCCTTCGTATCAAAATATAAAAAGTTTTTTGACATTTCTTTTTTGCGGGTAAAAAAATCGACGTTTTTTGACATTAACCTCTGTTTAATAATTACTGGTTGCTGCCATGGTTTTAGTTCAAAGTAGTTCCCTGATTGATCAGGATAGTTTATACTACGAGAAAATCAACGTTAATCCAACCTCTTTAGTTTGCAAAGAGCCAACAAGATGTTAAAGATGCGGGTGTTTTTATTTTGCAGGGAAAAACATGCTGGTGTTTTGACTGGACAAAATAATTCAAACAATTTTGTCTAAGAAAATGATGTTCCGTCCCGCAAAAAAAATGTTACTATCAACCAGCTTTTAGTTTTTTTTTTCTTTACAAGTATAACTTTTAATCTATTCATCAACCGTTAAGTTAGTACAAAGAACAACAGAATAAAAAAATACATCTTGATCTGTAGACCACATGACGATGATTACTAGCGTTGGAGCGAGTTTTAGTTTGACGTGGCAATATCGGGGATTCATTTTCTCGTCTTCATAACCGAGTCATTAACTCCGTCAGCGTCACCCTTTGTCTCAAAATGGTTGAGGCCGTTGTTGCCGGCGATTATCAACCCGTCATGCTCATCCATAGGATGACCAACATTTTGTATGCAAGCTCGTGGCCAACTGCTTTACTCCACGAGAGTCAAACTGCTTTGACCAAAAGGTGGGATATTCTACCAACTCAGTATACAAGGCTCAGTTTTTTGGAACCTATCAACTTCTAAACGTAAAAGGTATGAAAAACACTCGTAGAGATCCGAATTGCACTCTTCTCATGCTCTGCATACACATAATTCTCACAACCAGATCCTCTAGGAGTATTATTTTTGAGCGGTATCCTCTAGGCATGTGTAGTGGTTCTCCTCACACGACTCGTCCCGCCATCTATGCCTTGGGCCGTCCTGAATCTGCCGCCCACCTTTGCAAGGACTATCCTTTCACCTCCAAGGTCCGTCGTCTCGCTCAACTGAGGGATGACATTCATCGGCGGTGTCATCGCACAATTCATCTAGCATTGATGCCAAGTTGAACTTTGCATTCCGATATATGGGAAAGAGCAATAGTTTTTTTTTTACGATGAAACGGCAAAAGTTACAAGCATAGAAGCCACTTCATCTACACCATGTGAAACATTTGCAAAGAACAGGCCGTCACATTTTCAATGGCACAAGAATGACGCATGTCGAGTTTGCCCACCTCGCCTTTCAAGACATCATCTAGCAGGGCATGGCCTTCAATTTAGACCCTCAAAGTGCTGTGTTAAATTAGGAGTCGGCGTGGAGTTTTTCCATGGGTTTGGGCATTTTCCGTCCAAAGCATGACTACTATTTTTGTTATTATTTTGACTGGGGCAAAGCATGACTACTATGTTTGTCTTCTTCTTGATGAAATGGTCCCTCCTGCCAGCTCATAAAAAAAAGGCTTTCGACTTTATAAACTGAGCCTACCTTCTCCGAGTTGGCAGCGGTTTGGTTTCACCTTTTTGTGGGGGATCTGAGTTTCATCATCCTCAATAGTCCTAAACCAATGGGAGATCCTTCTTCTCTTGTTCACAGGAGTGTTCTGGCAACGGGATCCGCTCCCCACGATTCTTTTCATTCTAGTCATGGCCCTCTACAGAACATTCGATTCTAGAGTTGGTCACTATGGCTGAAACATCACGGAAGATCTGAGCACTTTTTTCATCCCAAATTAAGGGAGGACACCTTTGGGGTATATAATAAAGAAAAAATATTCATCATGCATGGAAAAGCTAGATTCCACATATACTGCATTCTCTGCAATACAGAAGCCTACACCTACCGGCTATTGCATCCTCTGCAGATTCTTCATATCTGAGTGCCGGGAGTAATGGATTGTGCCTCACAAGCACAGAAGCCTATACTACTGCAGCCTCTGCAAATTCTTCATGTCTGATTCCACATCCACCGGGAATTTCAGCATAGCCTTCAGTTTAGTTGCAGCCTCATCAAGGTGATCGATTTCCAGGTATCTTTTGCTTGGGGATGCAAACAGGACTTCGTTCACATCTTCTTCGAGTTGCAGTGAGTATAGGTTTTCAAAGACCTAGATAAATAGAAAATCGTTAAATCTAATAGCTGTAGGAACACATGTGTGCCCTATGCCCTTCTTACCGCTTTCAGTCGTGAAACGGCCATTTCCCTGACTGCAGATGATCGCGCGACTAGATTGATGATGAGGAGACCCCCAGCTGAAAGGAACTTTTTTGCTGACATAAGGAAAGCATCTTCGACAAAGTTTGCTGGGGGGCAAGACAACCCAGAACTGTAACCAGGACTTCAAGTTAGAGTCTATTGAGGTGAACTGTTTGGCAAAAAGAACAGCAATTGATCAGTGGATGACAACAAGGAAAAGTTGAGTGACTGAACCTTAGATCAGATGAATCAACATCAACAATAAGAATTCTAACTGCATCGCTGTCTTTGCCATTTCGTTCAGAATGGGCATTTTCTTCAATGAATTTGATTCCATCCCCCAAATGCACCTAATGCAAGGGAAGGTAAAAAATGTAATGAAGCTCAATGCTACAAATAGCTCATTATCATGCTTGGTAGTTAGTACCGGTACTACTAAGCTCCTAAACATGAATTCCTAGAGGAGGAATGCAGTATTACATTACTTTGAGTACAAGAAAAAAGAGCATTCATCATGCTTTATTCATAGGGAAATGTTGCTTCCGAAAATCATCATAGAGAACGAATATAATATATTACGATCAGAATCATTTAACACATTAAACAGTTGCAATAGACCTTGCTACGCTTTTATGGTCATATGAATAATAAGAACAGCACTGAGAACACTGTATTTTTCAAAGAAAAGAAAATTACTGAAATGTAACATGTATTATTTCGCATAGTTCAAAACACACCTTCAATTGCTCATCCATTGAAAAGCCAAAATATTTCGTCGCGACCTCCTCCATCACGGGGTCCAACTCAACAACCTGTAAATATTGGGAAGCATGATCTCCCAGTTCAATCAGTTGACCAAGAATAGGAAATGTTTCTCTTTACCTCAATATCAAGATGAGGGAGGCATCCACGAAGAAACATTGGTAAACTCCCGGCCCCAAGGCCTACAATAGTGGTACTGACCTACAAAATAAATTGCAGGATACCTAGTATCACAAACTAAACTTAGTGCTTTAACGGAAAATTAATAACTAAGGGTCTTGCAGAGGTTCAGGCATTCAGCATATAATGATATCATATTACTTACCCTTTCTCCAGATGATGCCGCAGCACTCAGAGCAGATGCAACTAAAGAAAGCCCACATATGATACTACTGTGATAAGAGCTACCAAGATAGCTATGGTCGACCCTCAGACTGTCCTTGGATCCTACATATAATAAAAGACCAACCAATTCTGGGCTTAAAGTAAGATAAGAAGTAAAGCCATACCTAATTTTGATTGTCTTATTGCATAGGTGCAGACCAATAATGTTAGTAGGTTTAGAAACATAAAAAAGAGGTAACAACAGTTATCCAACCAGGGTTTGAAATTCTAGATTCACAAACAGTCCAATATCACGGACGGTATCAATTCCAGACAGTTACAGCAGAAATTAGTTTTTCCTGGGCAGTTTGCAACAACAACAACCGAGCCTTTAGTACCAAACAAGTTGGGGTAGACTAGAGGTGAAACCCCAAAACAATTTTCACTTATTTGAATTAAAAATCTGACAAAAATGTTTGCAATTCAGGATTTGTTTTACAGGCAACCTCTAGGAAAAACAGAGGGCCTTTTACTACCAGGATTTTGAACCCTGATTCCAACAGCAAAAGAGAATGCTGGGAAACCGGTCGGTTTTTTCTCTCATTGACAGAAAAAAGGAGGATAGGTACATCAATGCTTGCATCTCAGTTGAGAACAACGAGTAGGATCAACAAGCATTATAAGAGAAAATGGAATGGAGTAAAATCATAAATAATTTGGAGTTCTGCCATTTTTTAAAGGTTTAAAATTACTTTGTCAAGAAAAATTGCAACACTCCGCAAGTACCCAGAGTGAGGGAAGATCAACATGCATCAGCTAGTATCAGATGAATAACTAGACAAATATTACCAAAGTAAACATGTAGAACAAAAATAGTTACAGCAACTGGAAAGAATTCAGAGCATAACTTATACAGGATAATGCCATGCATGAAATGCTCTCTTCATTAATCTAGAAATTAACTGTATTTAAAAATTAAAATGCAAACAGGTTATCAACAAATAGATGTGTTTTGATTGGAAACCTATTGTAAATGTTAGAAAATCAAAATTCCGCAACAAAACTATCAGAATACATAGTCATGACGCCAAGAAGAGGCCTAATGCCGAAAAAAGTAAGCTCAAACCAAAGCCATCAAGGGCATGGACTATTCCACACCATAGCAGTAAAATTGGACATCTAGGTTAACATTAAATAGGAATATACCAGTGAGTCCCTTTTTCTGGCTCTTCTTTTTTGATGATGTAGATGAGTTCTTGGTCTTACTGTCCATCTCATCACTTGGTGATTCTCTCATTAACAATGCTTCAGATTGCACTAAGCCAGAACTTCTTTTAAAAATAAGTCGCCGGAACATTTTTTCAGACATGCAGCTTTGGTCTCCATCAACATTTTCATAAAGAACATCTTCCACAACCATAGGACCTGTTATTTCTGATGTTACCTTCAAATGCACACAAGGAGGTCAGCCGAGGTATTGTGTGTGTGTCATTCGACATTACAGCAAATTAGAGAATCATGCGGCTTTGAAAATTCAAATAAAAGCATATAGATGTATTAGTCCAGTTCCAGCTGCCTCCCTTACTATTACAGTCCTATCTAACAGAATCAAATACATGTCAAACTCTCCAAAGCCAGCTAGGACGAGGTTGATTCTTCATAGGAGGCAGAGACACTCACTGAAAACCCCAAACTGAATCATGCCATCCACAAACAGATGATATCCACACAGCTTTCTGATTCAGTGCAGGAACAGTCAAGACAGGGAACCTAATGCACGTTTCCAGGGAGCCAGCATCTGGTTCTTAGGATATATACTCCAAGAAAATTCATTAGATGGGTCCTCCCAAGCAATTACACAAGTTTACAAATATCTGACAGTTAATTTAATCCAGCCAAATGATAACAAACTCATTCTCAGATAGTTTACTCGATCCAGTGTCCTAGGAAGATCAGTTAGATAATATCACCAAAAAAATTGAACAATACACCAAGCACTATATACATATCTTGTATATAAGATACCATCTGTGGAAGGAAGCATGTCTGTTCAATTTTTTGGAGAGGGTAACATAAACCCTGGTTTCTGGGAGCAGTTCTTTTTTTAACAGGTTTCTGATAGTACTTACCATGCAATAACAGCTTGAAGGGAGGGACAATAGGAGAGAATGAATTCGAGCTGACTAATTCATCATTTTTGGTTTGCATGTGACACTTACATGCTCGTCCTCACAGAGGATGTAGTAGCAGTGAACCAACCATATCTTAAGAAAACCAAGTGATATTCCAAATAACCATCCATAGCCTGGTAAACTAATCAAATGTTTAGGAAACCTCGATTGATGAGGTAAGGCCTTCTGAATCCTGGAGCTACAATACTGATCCTGTGCACGACTGCATGGCACTGTTTATACAGCATCAAGGCAGTGGTCTCCATGACCAATATATGCGAGACTTCGTCGTCAGCCTTCTAGTTTCCAAAACATCTGATGAGTTTTCCTAGGATACAATCCAGTTATTTGGAGTATCAATTAGTAATTGCTAAAGATAGAGCTATGAGCCTAATTGGTTTGCAGCCAAATTTTGGCAAGCCAACTATTGGCACGCGCCAAAAATTAGCGGTCGATTGGTTCGACTCGAACCGTGGGCGCGCCAACAGGCGGCTAGCCAAATATTGGCCGCGTGTCTTCCCCCCACCGCTCACTTTCCCCTCACTGTTCGCCCCAACAGGATATCCCCTTATCCTCCTTCGTCCCAGCCCCAAATCCCTAGCCCCTCCGTTCCACCGTCCGTACCGCCGCCAGCGACCAGAAGCGCTCAAGGACCTCGGCGATCTCCTGCTCCGGTGGGAAATCGTCAACGAACCAGACCAGATCCACCAGAGCAATCAAGGTTAGTTCGTGCCCAAATCTGATGGGTCTTTCCTTCTTTCCCTGTGTACACTTTACCCAATCGCCTGCAGTGTCCTCTCATCTGACGCCACAAGCAGATGTACGTGATTATTGTTTCTAGATGCGAGGGGTACGGGTCTCTCTTAGTTTGCATCTGCAGTCCGCTCTCATCTGACGGGACAAGCAGTGCGCTCTTATCTTCTCTGTCTTGTACTTGGTGCAGGATTCAGGAACGGTTCAGAGTTATTTTAGTACCTTGCATCTGCATAAATCTGAAGCTAAATACCTTGCTTAAAGATTATGCTGGACTAATTGATGCTAGGATATCACTACAACATGTGCCCTCATACTTTTCTACTGCCACGGTGGGAGGGCTGAAACCTAATACTCTCTTCTAATATATTTGAGAGCCTGAAAGACAGAGCAGTATCATCTTGCTTTTGACAATAGAAGTCACACACCTCTGAATAACTTATATATATACACATATTTGAATTTTTTTTATGTATTGACAAATTATTTACTATCTGCTTGTACATGCTTTGCATTGCTTTTCCATTTTCTTTTATGCTTATGCATCTTATCTTTACTCAGATGGATAATTCTCAACAACAATATCTATATTACTGTATGTGGAAGCAACGCACACTACTTGTCCTTTTTGTAATGTTGGTCCTTTGGTGGAGCAAGAAAAAAGGGAGGAAGAATAGAGCTAAACGTGTCAAGTATGGTCTACTTGTCAAGAGAGATATTTGGAGGAGTACTGAACTAATTAGACTGATCGACACCTCGGAAAGGACGTGTTTGCGCCAGCTCAGGATGTATCCGGCTGTTTTCTACAAGTTGTGTGCTCACCTTAGGGACAAAAAGCTTTTGGCTGACACAATTCATGTGTCCGTAGAGGAGCAGCTAGCTATGTTTTTGAAAATTGTTGGGCAATATCACACTCATTCCTCTGTAGGATTTGCGTTGTGGCGATCTGAGGAGACAGTGAGTAGGTATTTTAACATTGTCCTACGTGCACTTGTGAAGTTAGCCCGTGAAATAATCTGCACTCGGTCTACAGATACACATGCTAAGATCACTACCAACCCACAGATTTTATCCCTACTTTGAGGTAACTCTACCAGTGTGTTATACTAGTTAATTTCCAAACTAAGTTCGTTCTAATTCACACAAGTTTAATTTTTTTCTAGGGATGTATAGGGGCAGTAGATGGCACCCATATTAGGGCACGTGTGCCTTCAAAATATGTGGACAGGTTTAGGGGCCGCAAGCCATATCCCACACAAAATGTCCTAGCTGCCGTGGATTTCGATCTTAGATTCACGTATGTTCTAGCAGGGTGGGAGGGATCTGCTCATGATTCTGCTGTATTGCATGATGCCCTATCTCGTCCAAACGGTCTCAAAATTCCAGAAGGTAATTGCACATTTTTTAAAAATGTTGTTTAGTTTAAACATAGAAAATTAACTTAAGGTGGTATTCAACTATGTATGTAGGAAAATTTTATTTGGCTGATGCTGGGTATGCCACCAGGCCGGGCATATTGCCACCCTATCGAGGTGTTCGCTATCATCTACAGGAGTTCCATGGTCCGAATCGTCCAACCTGTCCAAAAGAGCTGTTGACCACCGTCATTCCTCACTAAGGACAACGGTCGAGTGAGCCTTTGCAGCTATTAAGAATCGTTTCAAGATTCTTAGTAATAGACCTTTCATACCCTTGAAATCACAACCCAAGGTGGTTATTGCTTGTTGCGTCATTCACAACTGGATTTTAGACAATGGACCCGATGAGTTTGTAGATGACGAACCAACTTGGTACCACCACCTGCCAAGGAGTAGCAATCGTGCCTCCGACCGAGAGAGTGATGTACGCGAGTGGGCAGCCAAGCGTGATTTGATTGCCCAACAGATGTGGAATGATAGAGAGAGATTGGCGAACAAGGATGCTTCAGAGAGCGGGAGTAGTGCTAGTACCATTTGAAAGTACTTTCCTGTAGTACATTTTCCTTATTTAGCAGTTCCATGTTTAGACATTTTGTGCCAATCTAGCTCTGTAATTTTCTTTTCGTGTATTGTGCAATTGTACTTTTATTTTGGAATGTACTGTTGGGTAATGTATGGATTGTTTGTTTGTGCTGAAACCCTTGAATATTCGTTGACATAATAGCATATTGACTTCTGACCTTCATTTATAGAATGGGTGAGCAAAAAGAAGGTGCCAAGACTGAGGTTGCTCGCTCTCGTGATGATTGTACCAAGTATATGCTTGAGTGGTACATCGAGAAGCAAAGGGACAAGCCACCAACCTTCAAGTGGAAGGCACAACACCATCTACAATGTGCTAATGATTTGAATGACAAGTTTGGAATTACAGCTACAGCAAAACAAGTTGATCGACACTTTAGGTCATTCAAGGAGAAATGGAAGTGGATAAAGCTAGCAAAGGGGAGGAGCGGATATGGTTTCGATAAAGTACTTAACAAATTTAACATTGACAAGTCAGAGAAATCACCAAGCAAGCTTGGTGTAAGTTCGCTCCAACTCACCTTTCTATTTGCATGATTTATAGTTCTCTATGCGATCATTCTTGTTTTTGCTAAACTGATTATCTAGTTTTTATTTTGAAAATGGCATGCTAGTGTTAATAGATATTCCTTTTTTGCATTTACCACTGTCAAAATATTCACTTACACAGATTATTTGGTCTCACCAATTATACACTTGTTTTATAATCATTGTTGTGCACTTTTAGATTGACCAGACTACTCAAACAATTTATTGCATTGACATGCTTTGGTTTATGTTGCAGAAAATAAAATTTAACTACCTTACTCACTCCATCAAGTTTTATCATCTCCTGGAAGAACTGTTTAGTGACTCGTCTCATGCGGATGGCTCACTAGCTATTGATGTGAATGATGCAAGTGAGAATGTGGAATCTGATGGTAGTAGTGAAACGAGCAACCACACATCCACTGCCGAACAAGGTCTTAGTGATTCCGACATGATTGCGCCCAACAGTCCAGCTGAAGGCACTAGCTCAAATCTGAAGCGCAAGCATGTTAAAGCACCACATAAGAAGAAACCAAAGGTCAAGGCGCGTCGAGCCAGCGTGTTAGATGATGATGTGGCAGCGAGCATTGTGAGTCTTGCTGAAACTGTGAAATCTGCTGCCCCTATTCAGCCAATAGCAGTTACAGACCCCAATGCCAATCTTTGGAAACACATTGAGTCGCTAACTATCCCAGCAAATGAGAAGATTGAGTTAGCAGCCTATCTTGCTAAGCCAGAACAAGAAATTTTCCGTGGTTTCCTGAACTGTGCAAGCGTCCAGACTTTTAATGCTTGTGTCCTTGATTATTTCGCGCACAAGTACAACGGCAATGATCGCACAGCTGCTGATCCATCAATCTGAATGACATGTTTGGTGGCTTTCTTTTGGCAAGTGCTTTTGTACTCTACGTAGCTTTTCATGCACTTATGCTAAGTGGAATTCCTGTGCCGTAATGGTGTTTAGAGGGTCTTGCCTTTTGTAATGCATTGGTCTAGCACAAATCTAAATTAAGCTAGTTTGTAAGAAATTTCCTGATGCTTGATGACCTTGTGCATGCTACGTTGCAATATTGCAGTGGTATGATGGTGCTTCTAAATTAGTAAATTGTGCCCATGGTATGACAATGGCGTGTAAATTATGTACTGGATTACGTAGGTAACAAATTCCTTGTCGGGACGAGTTATGCATATTTGGTAACAAACCAATTGATATACACTTGTTTTTTGCCAAATATTGGCAAAACATTGACAACCAACCAATTGGTAGCCAAACTTGCCAAATGTTGGCAACTTCCAGCTTTGCCAAAAATAGGCTTGCCAACAATTGGCATGCCAAAAATTGGCTGCAAACCAATCAGCCTCTATTTTCCTATTTATTCCCTACTCAACCTTGGTACAAGTACCAATGAAATTTCTCTTCATGCATCCTAGTCCCTTCGAGTCTTGTCATCCGGCCTCTCTCCAGCCAGTATTTACCCCTATGAACTTTAGCTCGTAACAATGTGAGCTACTATGATCAGTGAGAGTCCAGCGCAGGAGGTATACTAATCATCAATGGTAAAGTGCAACCAAAGTAGTCCAGAAGACAATATGACAAGCCGGCGAATAAAGGTGAAAGCAAAGGTTCTTATCAAGCAACAACTGAACAAGATGTTCAGAACTACTCCCTCCGTTCCAAAATAGATGACTCAACTTTGTACTAACTTAGTACAAGTTGAGTCACCTATTTTGGAACGGAGGGAGTAGACGTTAGACGAGAACACTAGGACTAAAAAGCTTTAGAATGACAAGCAGCTAAACTGGTCCTGGACTTCTGGTTAAACGCGAAACATTATATCTTATCAGCTCACAGCTTGAAACGGTTTGCTCAAGTGACATACTTCAACTTCAAAGGTCTAAACCCCACATGGAATTGTATGCTTACACCCATTTATTTGACAACTGTAATCATATTAAGACATTCACTATGTGCCCATGAATCTATAAAGGAAAAGGCTGCAGTTGAACATCTGTTGGATGAGTTGAAGTGGCTTTTGACTGTTACGGTCTAGCAGTAATGAACTTGATGAGAGAATCTTAGAACAGTACAATCATTAGTAAAAAAACAATTTATCGAGAAACAAATCCAATTCGGACCATGAAATTTGGTAACTGGTACATGTCTGAGTTGAACCCCCCTATCTGAGACCTTCAAGTTTCAAGACCAAATAACTTCAAATGCCAATGTGATGTCGAGGCATATGCCGGTTTCATGAAAGTGGCACATACGACAATATGGATTATTATATGATTTCCAAGGATTTAATCTAAAAGTTCAGCTTACAAAAAAAAAATCAAGCTAGATATGACAGGACACTCACCCACTCCCAAACGCGGATTTCTTAAGAAAAATTACCTGATTAGGCCTATAAAAATTGATCGTCAAATTTTCCTACAGTTTTTCAGTTGTTCAGCCATTCTCTGAACTCAAAATTAGTTTCTAGGATGAAATTAAAGTGGAATCATTAAAATAATCTACACTGTCAGCCATCTTTGCGCCACTTTGCCCAAACCATCCACGTCATACATCACAGCAATGACATAACCCTCAAAACCGTGTTAGGATTCAAGACGGTCAGGTTATGAAACTGAGGGTTAAAAGAAATAGTTAGTGTATTGTGTAGTTGGGGGTTCAACTGTCCAAGATAGACCTTTCCACCAAACTTAGGCTAATTTGGTGATGTTGACCCTAAGAAGAAAGGGCAAGAATCATTGCCACTGGACTAGGGGTACATTTGGTTTACCACCAACACCAGCCTTACCAAAAAATCGGCCCGCCCATGGGATTTGGCCGCCGTTTGGACTGCACCAAAAAATTGGCTCACCCAGTCCGCCCGCATGTTATTCTCGCCAATTCATGGGCGCAGCAAGGGGGTGGAAAACGCTCGCCAAATAATTTGCAGCCTGCTCTTGCCCGCTCTTTACGTGGGTCTCGTTTCATTTTTGCTTTTATACGGTGGTCGCGTCCACTGCTTTTACGGAGGTCTCGCCAAATAATACGGCGGATTAATCGCGTGGGTAGCTGCGTGATGACCGAACAGTTTTTCTTAAGGCAACCGAACAGTTGTTTGGATGGATTTTTTCATTGACAGGTACTCCCTCCGTTCCGAATTACTTGTCGCAGGTATGGATGTATCTAGATGTATTTTAGTTCTAGATACATCCATTTCTACGACGAGTAATTTGGAACGGAGGGAGTAGTTTGGATGGATCAGTCCCGTGTAAGCTCCAGCCTAACATACGTTTTAGTACTGGACTTCCTTTGATCAGAATAAAAAACTTTTACTATTGGACAAATGTTCTCAAAACCAGTACTAATACTCTTCTCTTGCATGTTTATTTTTTGGCATATTATATTTAATTAATTTATATATTACAAAAAACTTATTTTTAATATGTCTCTTTCTTTGTTGGCTCAAGTTACATCCAAATTAAAATCAGATCAAGCACTAATCAATCCAAGTTACTCGTACAAAACATTTGGCAAACCAAATGAAGTCTTAGTGATTTTACCAAAATTTTGGCAAGTACATTGGCTACAATCCAAGCAATGATAACTTACCAAAATTTTGGTCATGCCCTCACTTTGGTCATGCCAATTTTTTGGCTGGGCTAGCTGGGGCACAAACCAAACACACCCTAGATTTCCGGATAAAATTAGACAGTTTGAGTAGAATTTTTTTAGAACATTAACAATACCTCCTGCAGAACATCTCTTTGTTTCACACCATCACTGGCCATCATGAATCTGAATAGGTTTGATGCACCAGCACCCCAAGATAAAAAATCGAAGTAACAAGAATAGTTAGAACAAAGCCAATTGAAAAAGGTCTTACAATAAATAGTTAGAAGAGGGCCAAATAAGAAAAGTTGAGTAGTGATCAATGCACAATGGGTTATTCGGTTGTCATGTGTCAGTGCATTAATTGTAGACAAACCACACACTTACAAGTTTGTTTGCGCGTATTACTATCAAATGTAACAACAATCATCTAGCTATTTCCAAACATAACAGTGCATAGTGATAATGCAGATTTTACTGAATTTCAGCTCAATGTTCAGAACAGAGACTAAGGTAATTGAGAGACTGAGTCGTAATGTACCTCTGCAACTATGATATAACTAGTTAGAGAGTTACCAATTTGATAAAAAATTAAAAACCAGAACAGGGACAACCACATCATTTACTCCGTGTTATTTTTCAGAATTGACAAATACTACCTCCGTCCTGGTTTATTGGCCCCCTTTGTAATTTGTGCCAAATTTTGACAAAATATTTAACTAACAAAATGTTAATGCATGTCAATAAAAATTATATCGTTGGATTCGTATTTGAACATAGTTTCCAATGATATAATTTTTTGTGACATGCATGAACATTTTGTTAGTTAAATTTATGGTCAACATTTGGCACAAAATACAATGGGGACCAATAAACCAGGAGGGAGGTAGTATAAAATTAATTTAACCTACGGTTGCTAGAATGCACACGGATGAGCAAAAAAGAAGAGGGTGTGCCAGTAATTAAGGGATCCAATTGATGTGAGTTGTCATAAGCAAAAAGGCTGGGGTAATAATAATGATGATATATCTTTTCATAAATAGGGTAATGAGCAGAATAAATACATCAAAGTTATTTGGCATTAGCATAATATAATTAAAATAAAATCAATTTTTCTATGGGCCAATGACAGGATACTCTTTCGCCCGAATACATAATGCGAAAGTCTGGCTTAGTTATTTGATGTATTAATTATTTTCTGCACACGATAAAGGCCTACTTGTAGTAGAAAGTACTGACAGAATTTAAAAAAGAAAGCATTGAGACATACGGCATAGGGTCTGTCTCTTCAGGATATTCAGGTTCTAGATCCATAACAAGAGGAGATAAATCCTTCTGCGAATAGCAAAAATATTATGTTACAACCTGACATATAAAAATAGGGGCCTTTAGCAATCGCACAATAATGAGAAACATCACCTTGATAACATCAATGTCAGCACTTGCATGTCTGCTATCGAGGAATACCTAGCACAGCACAAATATAAGCCATGAAAATGAAGCAACATATCCTAGATAGCAAAGAGATAAACACGCAGTCTGCATACCATGATTAGACGAGCAGCCTTTGCACTTTCAACAACAAGCCACTGCCCTTCCTCTGAAGCAAATAACCATTCCTGAGCTCGTGCCTGAAAGAAGGTATTTTCGTTAGCAATCACGAATGGACAGAAGAAGTGATGAACTATTTGAGTACTTCTCTATTTTCTTGGGTACAATATTGAAACATGCGGTGAACGTCAAATGAAAGCTACTGTGGTTAAGCAAAGCCTAGTTGTCAAGATTAGTTGACCAACAGGCCACTCTGACACAGATAAAATACTTCCATTTTGTTGCGGTGGGAAAACAGCAACAGCCATAAATCAGAGACTTAACGAGAATGAGGGATCAACTATATTAAAAACCATACAAGGGTAACAGAAATTTAATTAATTGAAATGGGATCGATGCCAGCATATTTATAGGTTTTATTACAGAGATGAAGCAGGAAATGATGATCAGGAAATTCAAACATATTCAGCAAAGCGTTGCTGGGTGTGCATATCCGTCATCTCTGGACTACTACTGGACTTCAACCAAATTAAGAATATTAAAGATGGAAAATTCTTAATTCCCATTTACATGAAAAAAATGTCATGAATAAGATCCTAATAATGCAGGGGTTAGTCCCATATAATTGTGAGGCCAATCCACTAAGTGAAGTTTGTCTCAGTGATCTGTTCCGAGTCCTGATTGCTCATTACTTAAGGTCTATTAAAACAATAAGATTCCTCATGTGAGGAGAAAAAAATCGTAAAACTTACATCAAAAATGAACAATGAAGATGACAAAAAATCCACAAAGTTCTCCATGCCACTAAATGTTAGAAAACTAACAGCTCCTAAAAAAATTAAGAGGGCTAAAATTTTATAAATCAGTATCAGTTAGTTTGGTTTGAGGAACAGGACTGGAGTGGACCATTCATCAAACCTAGCCACATACTTTGTTTGAGAAATGTAATGGGTTGGCCTGTCAAAACACCTCAACCCTCATAAGCACAGGGATAAAAGAAATATGGGGGATGGGGCCCACCCCAAAAATCATGGGTTAATTGGTTGACAGACCAACACATCTAGCATAAGGCAGTCCCTCAAGTCAAACGACATATACATTAGCATCTGTAGCTCCAACAAATAGCTGCATTTAATCCAGCAGATTCATGATTGCAGTATGATAAGAACGACAGCATTAATCTCATTCAAACACTGAATATGCATGCTTAGCCTGCTGACTTATCCACTTCCCAGGCTGAAAAAACTGTCCTCAAGATGGAATTTCGTTCTTCTACATAAACAATACTCCCTCCATTCCATAATGTAGTGCATATAGATTTTATGAAGTCAAACTTAGCAGACTTTGACCAAGTGAAAACTATCTATATCTACAATACCAAACATAAACAATATTAAAATTTAACTCACAATGTATACAATGATATCCATTTGGTATTCTGATTGTAAATAATTTTCTCTCTAAACATGGTCAAAGTTTTGACTTCTGAAAAAATCTATATGCACCACATTATGGAATGGAGGGAGTAACTTGCTTCAGTAGTCATTATTTGCACTATTATTGTTGTGCACTATGTAACTCTTCCAGGGGGAGCCTTGGCGCAGTGGTAAAGCTGCTGCCTTGTGACCATGAGGTCATGGGTTCAAGTCCTGGAAACAGCCTCTTACAGAAATGTAGGGAAAGGCTGCGTACTATAGACCCAAAGTGGTCGGACCCTTCCCTGGACCCTGCGCAAGCGGGAGCTACATGCACCAGGTTGCCCTTTTATGTAACTCTTCCAGAATCCTAAGCTTCTGTCGAATTGCACAAAGAAGCATTAGCTACATGTCCCTATTTCTTCTCTCTTTGAAGCTTTCTCTTGGGATGTAAAGACGAATACGTGATTACAGCATCCACATCACATCCACAGTGAAATTTGAGTTTATTGACATATTTGTACGGCAATTTCTTATCTCCAGCAATCGGAATTTACAGTAACAATAGAGGGAAATAGAATGGTATGGCATCAACATGATAATAGTCCATGTATACTCTAGTTTGAGGCAACTTTGTGTATCGCGTGGACTCCAATTTGAGGCAACTTCGTGTGTACCACCATAGCACGTTTTCAGGCAATAATAAGAATATGGACACAAAACTAACACATGAATTAAGATCACATAGACAGTAAGATTGGCATAAAATGCATAGATTAAAGGATTAAATCAGTAAGAAAACAAAACAGTCCCAAAGCTGCAAACAGACCCACGTAAATCTTGATCAAGAAATTTTACATTTCTACTGTGTCTCAGTTTTGAAGGTTTACTGCAAGATAGAGGCAATGATTGGCTAAGGAATTCAGCTAAACAGTAATAGTAATAAAAAATACTATGAGGGCACAGGTGCAAATTGACAATATATAACAGACCTTAGGAACAATAAAAACTCCACAGTGGTATGCAAATGTTTCAGTTTGATTCTTGGCATCCATTAAAACAGCTTTGTAGCAATATAGTGAGCTTCCTTGTTCACCGAGAATTAACTGCCTCCTTCGTCCTGGAACAATAACCTTTAGATCTCCAATAGCACCCAGCTGAAGATCTCGCAACGAGAAAAGTATATCAACACCAGAATTGTGTGACTCCCGGATTTTGTTCTCATTTTGCAGAGCATGAATTACAGCATTTGCCTGTAGCACGAACACAGAACATCGAGTAAAATGTAAGTCCTGACAAGAACTTAATTATTTATATTTCATAATATTTACTCCCTCCATTCCATAATGTAGTGCATATAGATTTTTGAAAAGTCAAACCTCACAAACTTTGACCAAGTTTTTGGAGAAAAACATTCATCTAGAATGCCAAGCATATATCATTAGATTCATTATAAGTAGTTTTATATTTTATATATTTGGTATTGTAGATAGAAATAGTTTTCTCTATAAACTTGGTCACAGTTTTACTTCTCAAAATATCTATACGCACTACATTATGGAACAGAGGGAGTATATCAGACGAACATAAGAGTACCTGTTGCATGTTACAGTATTCAGCAGACTGGTCCACTAGTGATTTTATTGTGTGTACAACACCCATCTTCCCTTTTACCATGACCACCATGAAGGTCTGGAAGGCAGACTTGCTAGAGGGTTCACTAGCTATAGCTTGAATAGTCATATCCCATCCAAACCTGAACTCGGACAAAAGTAGGTCTACAAGAGAGAAAGTGGAAAAAAGAGTCTAAACAAAGTTTCAATATTAACTGGTTGATTACATAGAAAATAGTCCATCTGTTATTTTGTAATTGGTATTTTACAATTCATGGAACTTCTTGAAATTTGAGTGACAATATCTTCAGAAGTATCTATATTGGCTGCAGATACATCATACATTGCAATATATCATAGATTTGCTGGTAAAGGCATTTTGAAAATCTCATGACCTTTTTATTTGTACTAATACAGAGCTTAAAACCCAATGGTCACTCACAGAATAACACAGTAAAAGAAGTGTAACTGCCAAATTGGAACCATGTCAAATTCAAAATCACGCATATGCATATGTCAAGTTAAAAGCCAAAAAAATATGGAGAAGGTACAAGGTGGCAACTGCGAAACATCCTGTTGTCAGAAAGTGATTGAAGTTCACCTAAAACATGGGATTCTGCTAGAGTAAAGCACGCAAATTTCCCGCCTAACTTCAAAACCCTCTTGGCCTGCAAAAGGTGCCTGCTTAGTCAGGCATGGCATGAAGAAAATAATATTTCCATCAAGCCTAGTAGATTGCAGCAAGTAGATGGGAGTAAATTTAAACAAACTCAAAATCGAAATACCTCGTCTAGATATTTCATCCCCAGTTTTGTGCCAACCTCCGGCTCCATAAGAGCATCCAATCCTCCCTTATCAAGTATGAAATCAAACGAACCATCTGGAAACTGCCAATTTGGGATGTAAGGCAGCTTCCACAAGAATGTTTGTTACAGGTTGCTAAACAAATAAAGCATAGAAGCCGACAACAAAAATCCTGACAAACGGCACGGGAAATGAGAAGCATAAAGCAATTGAACTTTAATAAAAGTATACTTGGAAACAGCACTAGTGACTTCAGTTCACATGTTAGGTGGAATCATAAATGTTGCCCAGCGGATGTAATACTAAGGTCATTCTGAATAACAACAGGGTAAATATTTCCATTTTGTTTTTAGCTAAAACCAAAAGTATCTTCTGGAAGCAATCTGAGAGAGACAATATATCAGTTCAGTTACAAGACTATGCACTGACAACACACGGATACTCGTCCATGGTAACCTAAACCAGTCGGTTCTACAGGCAGGAAATCTAATTATAGTTATGGTACTGATGTTCATAACAGAAAACGAAGGTGTATCTGTTCTTCATTCAGTGGCTAAAATTGCATTCCATTACAACATCAGGTCCAATCGAGCATTGCAAACTTTGATACTAGCTTCCAACACAATCATTGGTCAGAGTTCAAACCTCGCAATTTTGAATACCAGTAATTAAAGTGAGCGGAGATGTTTCAACTAGAACAAACATCATTACTGTACTCCAACTACAAAAAAAGCTCACTCGGTGTGCCCCCACCAATCCAGCACCAATGAACAGACCAATTCTAAATTGGCACGGTGCAACCGCAATTCATGGACGCAGGAGGCGTACCTGCATGTTGGTCATGTCCATGACGCGCCAACGCATCTGAGGGCGCACACGGGCGTGCCGGCGGAGCATGTCGGCCACGATGACACGGGAGAAGTCGACGTTGGTGATGCGGCGGAACCCCAGGTCGTACAGCTGCTCCGAGAGCGACGAGCTCCCGCACCCCGGGACAAGGATCTCCGTCCCCTCTTCCCCAAGGAGGAGCGACAGGAGCGGGGCCTTGATTTGCGGCCACTCCGCGTACCACTCGAAGCTGTCGCCATCCCCGCGGAGGGCAAAGAACTTGTCCCAGTTCTCCCGCGAAGTAAAGTCGAGCAGCGCGTCGTGGAGCGCCGGCGTGGTAGCCATGGGGTGGCTGCGCGAGCAGAAGACTCAAACCCTAGCTAGGAGAGCAGGGGTTTAGAAGTGGTTGGAGAAACGGCGAGGTTTTCTCGGTTGGGAGCGAGGACGCCAAACGCTTCGACCTCCGAGGGGGGAATTTTGATCATTTGCGCATTGCGCCACTTATTTTGCCTCTAATCATTTCTAAATAAAAAACTTCTAGATGTGTTATTATCTCTATCTCTATATACTCGATTCGTCGGGAAGGCCATGCTCAATACGGCGAAACAGGTACATAAACCTGGATGAATCATGAGCCTCCAAAAATGCTATGGGAGTAGCAGCCCTTCACGAATTTGGCCAATCGGGGTCCACGGAGTGCTCGAGGGATCGGACGAACAAGAATGACCGGGCAATTGACCGGACGGGCAAAATCAGTTATGACGTGAGAGAACTACTAGGATGCACGGTTATAATATTTTTAAGTATACTCTCTTCTGTCCATAATAATGGTAGCAATTTTAACTTTTTTACAATAAGCAGACTTCATATTTTTCAATTTATGGTTATATCGTGCACAATGAGGCGAGAAATGAAGTTAGGGATTGAAGATGTCCAAAAACTAGAAGATCTAGTGCTAAAAGAGTAGCTAAGCCATGTGCAATTTCATTCACCTCTCGGCAACAATGTTGGTAAGAGATTTTTACAAAGTCCATACTTAGTTGCTTAGTTTCTATGATAGTCACCACATCCAGTTCAACATATGCATCAGGTTCAATCAGAGCATCAACAACAAAGGAACAATCTGACTCCAAAACCATACTAATACACCCAATAATTGTTGTCGGGTATAAGTCATTCCTAATAGCAATAATTTCTGCTGAATCAACGGTACTCACTTGGCGTAGAAACCATGTTGTCGCTGCTATAAAGTTACCCTGACCATCCCGAACAACAGCTTCAGTAGCACCCAACAAAGTTTCAGGCTGAAATGAGGCATCAACATTGATTTTTTACAATCCCATGGCTTGGCTTCTTCCACGTGTAATCACTCTTTCTGACTGGTTGTTCAAGGGCCAGAGATATAACATAATTTGTTGCTAGTACTTTAATTGATATCGCGGATCTCTCGGGTGACTATCATTTCCCCTTTCGCAGATTGTCGGTGTTGCCACCATAAGTACCAAAGCCGCAATTACAACTAGCTCCATTCTAGGCAGCTCACCCGAGAATGAATTCAATCTTGCCAAAAATTCCATAGTGATTGAGCCTGAACGATCTTCCATCACCGCTTGTTGTGTAATCTTAGACAAGCCCAACTCAGACCAAACGTCCTTCGCTCGTCGACAGATAAACAAACAATGTTGAACATCCTCACATCTGACCAGGCAAATCGTACATTGGGCTGAGCATGGGATATGGCGTCCTGCTAGAGTTCCATAACAGGGGAAGGTACCCCAAGGAACCTTGCAGACAAAGTGTTCAATCTTTCCTGGGACTCTCAACGGCCAAAACTCCTTTAAAATCGTATTAATGTGGGTTTTTCCCTGCCCACCAGACCTCATAAGACGACCTCCATATTGATGATCAAATTCTCTATGGTACACCGACGAACTAAAAAAGATCCTGAGCGAGTATAATTCCAGGCGATAAAGTCTTTAATGAGTTGAACATTAAGCGAAATTTACAAAATGCGATGAGCATCAACTAGAGAGAAAACATCACATATAGTAGTCCATCCCATTGCCCTGAGTGTGGATCGATCAATTTTTCAACTTTTTTCGGCATAGTTGCACCCCTTGATGTAATAATTTTCCTGGTTGCGCTTAAAGGGATTCAAGGATCTTGCCAGATTTTTACTTGTGAACATGTCCCCACTCGCCATATACATCCTCTTTTAAAAGTTTGAATACCCACAATAATACTTTGCCAAGTGTATGATGATCGCTTCTTTGGTCCAGCTTGCAAAGTATTTCTATCTGGATAGTATTTAGCACTCAACACACATGCACATAAAGAGTCTGGGTTTTGGAGTAGTCGCCAACATTGCTTTACTAACATAGCAAGATTGAAACTATGAAGGTCTCTAAACCCCATGCCCCCCTTTCTACTTCGGAATGCACATATTTCACCACGCAAACCAATGCATTTTCTTCTTATCCTCATTATCTCTCCACCAAAAGCTAGACATTTCATCAGTAACCGCCTTGCAAAATCCTTTAGGTAGCTTAAACACTGGCATGGTATAAAAAGGAATTGCATGGGCTACTGGTTTTAATAAAATCTCCTTACCATACATAGAGAGAGTTTTTTTCCTTCCATCCCTTCAGGCCTTGATAGATTCTATCAATGAGGTGTTGGAAACAGTCACTCCTGTCAACCCCAACCATTGTTAGAATTTTTTCAAGTTTTCTGCACATTTATTCCCTCACAATGACGCTAGTATTAGGACTAAAATAAATGCTTGATTTAGCGGTACTCACAAGTTGTCCACAGCTACTGCAGTAAGTGTCCAGAACCCAAAGTGTCTGCATTATGTGTGTTTGCCTTCATAAAAGTTAATGAGTCGTCAGCAAATAGGAGGTGTGAAATTGATGGGGCATTCCTACAGACACATGTACCTTCAAGACCTCCCACTTGTTCCTCATGGGCAAGGAGGGTAGAGAGGCCTTCCAAACACAACAAGAAAAGATACAGGAATAGGGGTTCCCTGCAGATCTCTCATGGGTAGAAATTCCTCGGTCTCTGAATCATTAAACCGAACTTTGTAGCTAACTAAGGACACACATTCCATAAGCAACTCTACCCATTGAGCATGAAAGCCCATCTTTAGCATCATCTTTTCCAAAAAAACTCTCACCATGATCATACGCTTTGTGCATATCTAGTTTCACATCACAATAGCCATTAGAACCATGTGTCTTCTTCTTTATTGCATGGAAACACTCATAGGCCACCAAGACATTGTCCGTGATAAGCCTCCCAGTTACAAAAGCACTCCATGTTGGTGATATGATATCAGGCAAAGTATGCTTCAGTCTATAGCTAGCTGATAACCCACAAGTATAGGGGATCGCAACAATTTTCGAGGGTAAAGTATTAAACTCAAATTTATAGATTCGACACAAGGGGGGCCAAAGAATATTTGAAGGTATTAGCAGCTGAGTTGTCAATTCAACCACACCTGGAGATTAATTATCTGCAGCAAAGTGATCAGTAGCAAAGTAGTTTGATAGTTTTGATAATAGTAGTAGCAGCAATAGTAATAATAACAGTGATAGCAGTAATTTTGTAGCAAGTGTAACAGTGATGATAGCAGCAGTAACTTAGCAGAAACAATAATGAAAAGTTCGTAAGCATTGGATCGGTGACTTGTTGGATGATATTCATCATGAGACAGTTATAACCTAGGGCGATACGGCACTAGCTCCGGTTCATCGATATAATGTAGGCATGTATTCCATAAATAGTCATACGTGTTTTATTAAAAGAACTTGCGTGACATCTTTTGTCCTACCCTCCCGTGGCAGCGGGGTCCATATTGGAAACTAAGGGATATTAAGGCCTCCTTTTAATAGAGAAGCGGAACAAAGCATTAACACATAGTGAATACATGAACTCCTCAAACTACGGTCATCGCTGGGAGTGGTCCCGATTATTGTCACTCCGGGGTTGCCGGATCATAACACGTAGTAGGTGACTATAACTTGCAAGATCGGATTTAGAACATGGATATAATGGTCATAACATAAACGGTTCAGATCTGAAATCATGGCACTCGGGTCCAAAGTGACAATCATTAAGCATAGCAAAATCATAGCAACATCAATCTAGGAACATAATGGACACTAGGAATCAGGCCCTAACAAAACTAACTCGATTACATGATGAATCTCATCCAACTCCTCACTGACCAGCGAGCCTACGAAGGAATTACTCACTCCCGGTGGGGAGCATCATGAAATTGGTGATGGAGAAGGGTTGGTGATGATGAAGAACGAAGATCCCCCTCTCCGGAGCCCCAAACGGACTCCAGATCTGCCCTCCCCAGTAAGAACAGGGTTTGGCGACGGCTTAGTCTCGTGGATCATGATGATTCTTTTTCCCTTATTTTTTCTCCAAAAATAGGAATTTATAGCGTTGGTTTCAGGGTCAGTGGGGCCACCAGGTGGGGACAACCCACCTGGGCGCACCAGGAGAGGGGGCGCGCCCTGGTGTGTTGTGCCCATCCAGGGGCCCTTCTTCGGTAGGTATTGACTCCAGAAATTCTTATATATTATATAAAAATTCCTTGTAAAGTTCTGCTCCATTCCGAGAACTTTTATTTCTGCACAAAAACAACACCATGGTAGTTATGCTGAAAACAGCGTCAGTCCGGGGTTAGTTTCATTCAAATCATGTAAATTAGAGTCCAAAATAAGAGAAAAAGCATGAGAAAAAGTAGATACATTGGAGACGTATCAATTTCCCCAAGCTTAAACCTTTGCTTGTCCTCAAGCAATTCAGTTGATAAACTGAAAATAAGAAAGAAGAACTTTTACGAACTCTTTTGCTCTTATTTGCATAAATAAGCTTAAACAACACCCAGGTTTTCACCCAACATTATAACTAAACATATCGACAACAACTCTTAAAGATTATAATGACCCATATCAATGACATAATCAGATAGCGAGCAATAATAAGATATCTCAAATGGCAACACGTTGTCAAAACAACCATGATATAATATGACAATAATAGTATCTCACTAGCCCTTTCTGAGACCACAAAACATAAATGCAGAGCACCTCCAAAGTTCAAGCAGCGACTAAACATTGTAATTCATGATAGAAAAGATCCGGTCATGATGCACCCAACATTAGCTACACACAATGCATAAATCATGATCGATGTGCTCTACTCAGTTTCTGGCGCTTGTTTTAGATGGTGATGACACAACATAAAAGTAAATAGAAAGTCCCTTCACAGAGGGAAGCAGTGATTTGCAGAGGTGCCATAGCTCAATTTTTAAAACAGAGATAAAT